CCTAACCCTAACCTAAACCTAACCTAACTCTCACCCTAACCCTAAACTAACGAATTAATTTTATTGTTTTGATTTCACTTTACACCAGATCTTATAGAGTGCGATACATCGCATATGTGAAAAAATAAAAAATTCAAGATAAAATTTTGTATTTTTTTTAAAAAAAATTGATTTTTAAAATTTTTATTATATAGGCAATTTTATTTTTTTTTCTTATAATTTAAAAATAAGTATTACTATTTTATAATCCTTATTTTTAAATATCAATATATAAAATTTTTTTAAACTATTTTAAATTTTGATAAAAATAGATCAAAAACAATAATTTTGACATTTTAGTAGCCAAATATAGCCACTAACTGCTGATAGTTTAAGGGATAAGATTATTAGGGGTTGAAGAAAGTATATTGTAAATTAAGTGTGTGTATTTAGAAACAGAAGTAGGATAACTAGTGATTGAAGAGAGTAAAGTAATTGTTATATTGTTTTTTGCTAATTGAGCAAGATAAAAAAGAAAAGTATAGTTTTATGTTTTATGAAAACGTGTACGCAGAGTTTCTTCAGTGAGTTTTGGAAGCTATATTTTTGTTAGCTAAAGTTTAATTTGAATAATACTAATGTTATGAAGAAGTGAAGAGGTATTAAAAATATGTTCAGTATTAGATATACTAACTTTTTAAATTATATTAGAAGTGGGTTAGTAAATGAGATGTTGTTGGTATTTTTAGCTAAGGAGAGCATTTTTTTTGTTTGTATAGATAGTAGTTAGAAGAGTTTAGTTTGTATATTTTTTTAGATAGGTATGATTTAAAGAAGATATTCTAAAGAAGGTTGCAATATAAGATTGAAAAGTGAGAAAATTTGAGAGGGTAAAAGTTTTTTGTATCTAATAAGAAGTAAGAAATTTTCTATTTTGTTGTATAGTATATTGAGAATTAGTTTGGTTGATCCTTTACCATCATAGAAGATACCTAGATATCTAATTATGTCTTCAGATTTTTTAGAATTAATTATTTGGTTGTTGTAGATAAATATGTAATTTGCTGTTTTGGAGTTTTTAGAAAGAATATGAAGTAGATTAAACTTAGTTGGGTTTATTTCGATATTGTTTAGTTTGTATAATATAGAGGCATTATTGAGAATATTTTGTAAGGTTTCTGGGTATTCACAATGCTATAAAGTATTATCCATATATGCTGTATATAAGACGTAATGCTGTATATAAGACGTAATGCTGTATATAAGACGTATGCTATATATAAGTTGTATGCCGTATGTTATATATATCACTGTATACTATAATACCATATATCGATATACCTGGTTTTGTTTTCATTTAATTTGCCACTATAATGTTAATGCAGACTTATTAACAAAAAAAAAAAAAACAGCACACTCAAACATAACTACTTTAATGTTCTTTGTGATAAATATAACTTTATTGCAAGAAAATTACTAATTTATATCAAAAAAATTGTTATGATAACTCAAATTATGTATGTATTAGTAACTTTTAATCTAATAAAACATGATTCTGTAAATTTTATTGAATTTTATATATACCAAAAATTGTATATATGCTATGTAAATTACTCTGCAATTTTTTTCACTATGTAAACAAAATCTTAATTGAAAGCAACCAAGATTAAAAAACCTATTTGTATTATTGAATCTCTCATTACTAAAATTCTATTTAGATAACAACTAACTTATAATCTTGCAAAAGTGCTACTCATTTTGATAGCTATTTAATAGTGCCTATGTTCATCTTTTTAACTTCTATTTTCTATTATCATCATTCATATTAGAAAACTTAAGTAGTTAATAAAATGCTATGTATTCATTATTTTCAATTTTAATTTCCCAATTCCTTTATCATAATGTAATATGTTTCAAAAAATAATCTATCTATGCAGATTTTTGATATGAATACTTATTCCATGACAATACATGTTTCAATAATATTTTTAATCCTAGCACTAGCTTATAATATTCTACTGGTATTAGATTTTAGATAGTTAATATTATACTATTATTAGACAATCTCTTGACTTTCTCATTCTAAAAAACTATTTAGTACTTCTTAAGAATCGTAATCCAAATTAGCAGGAGAAATAATTCGAGCCGTCTCTACCGGTCTAGAATTATTTTCAGCTGTTAAATCAATAATATCTTCAATTAGCAGAGTTGTAGAATTATTAGATGTTATATCATTTAATAAATTTATTTTATTAAATCTTATTTGGTTCTCTTCTTCACAATCCATTATATTAGCAACTAATGCAATATTACATGCATCTCGAAGAATCTTTTTCTATTAACTCTTTTTCAAAAAAACTTAACTCGTATTGAATATTAGTTATATAATATTGTCTAATTTTAGCTATTCCTTCCAATCTATTTAAACTCAGGTCCATTTGTTGGTCTCCCAAAATCTATTTTAATGTTGAAAAGTTTCTTTCACATGCTGCTTGTATAGGATTAATTGAAAATATCCTATATGCTAATTCAGCTAAATGCCGAGATTGATTTTTGAAAGAACTTCACCAAAGTTTTGGAGTATCTATACCAGCAATATAAGAAAGATTATATGGTGACCATCGTGCCTCAAAACATTACAATTGTGCAACCAATTCTTCATCTTCAAATTGAGTATGATCAAGATTTTGCCAAAGCTCAATAGCAGTAAGTACAGCCATATGAAATCCATTATTATTTAAATATTTTTCTAGAAATTAATCAATTAAATACCATAATACACTTTAAACTAATCTATAAATTATCCTAAAATTTTACCTCTGTAGTCTGGATAAATATAATAGCCTAAAATATAAAGTGGATATAAAAATTCTTTATAATGCTGATTAAAAATATGAATGGCTAGAATTTTAAAGCTATCCATATCAGATAAGTTATTAATTGCAATGGCTAATTTAATCAGATAAACGAAGTAGTCAGCTAATATTGCATTATTAGCCTTTAACATATGAATAATTTCTTTAATAGGTTGCCACACTGAGCATACAAAACAACATATAGTAAAAAAACTTTCACTAGATATTAAATCACTAACTTCTTCATTAGTAATTAATTCACTATGATCAGAAAGTATCTAATAATAAAAGTTTATTAGCAAATAATTTATAATTAATAATATTCTATTAAACTATTATTTATCTAATTAAATATGGGACATGCATGAAGCATCAAATCAGTGGTTAAGTATAAAGATCCCCATTGGGTTTTTACCCATGTTTTTAGCCCACCACCCTTAATTTTCATATCTGTAAACCCTTTTGTAAGTAGTGATTGACTTGCATGTGAATTTTTAAAAAAACGGTTAATTTTTCCACAATCACTGATTAATTTTTTTATGCTCTCTAATTCAACTAAATCAGCTGCAATAAGGTTGATAGCATGTGCAGCACATCTAATATTCCAGATATGTGGATATATTTGTTGTGTCATTTTACGTACAACATTACAGTTTGATGCTGCATCTGTTACAACAGCTATGAATTTGTCTGAACCAAGTTTTTCAATAACTTCTGATATTTCATTTGCCAGAAATTCTCCAGTATAAGATTGATTTGAATAGTTTTTCAATCCGACCAGATATTCTTTTCGAGTATCTGTTGTGATAATGTAATTGTAAATTGAATCCTTTGATGGCGATATCCAACCATCTAAAGCTTTATAAAATTTAATCAATTTAAAGCTTAGTAATTAAAAATTATTAAATCTAATTGATTATTTTAGAGAATATGAAATTTTATCTAAAGTACAAATAATATTTAATAATACTAACCTAAAGTCAAATGAACTGCTTTTTCTAATTCATCATCAACTGCTTTATTTATCCATGCTAATTCTTTATCAAACAATCGGTTTGATAAAGTTGTTCTTGAAGGCAGACTATATGCAGGATTAAGTTTTGTAAGCATATCTCGAATAAATAGATTGTCAATGATATCAAAAGGAATTCTAGCCATTATCCAAGCTTTGATTATTTTTTGATTAAGCCGGTTAGTTATAGCTTTAGATAGTGGATGGTCTGATGCATAATGAGAATTCATTGTTGTTTGTAATATAGAATTTGGTAGAACACAGTTTTTTTTGGGTTTTCGAGCATAATTAGATCTTTTTCTGCAACCTTTTCTCTTCAATAAAGAGATATATCATCTGGACAACTAATGCAGTCATTTGATAATTGTACTTCCAGTTGTGTAAGTTTTCCTCGTACACATTTTTTTCTGCAATAACTACAAGTAGCCTCATAGTGTCCATTGTTTTTTTCAATTCCTTTGTTGAAGTAATCCCATACTTTAGAGAATAGACGAGGTTGATGCCTACTCTATGGTATATTTTTTGAACTTGATGAATGTGTAACTATTGAGGTTTGTGAACTAGTATCTGTTACTGTAGTAATATCTGTTGTTGTTACTTGATTATCTTTAATTTCTGAACTAAATTCATTGCAATTTCCTGAAAAAAGCCTATGTCTTTTCCTTGAACTTTCATTGGTTGCTTCACTTGTTGCTATGAGCTAAAAATTTTAAAGTCACAGATTGAAATTTTTGTATTCTGTATTATAATGATTATCTATATTATATATTTATTACATTGCATGTTTCAAATTTTTCATCACTGACCTTATTTAAGTTTCAATTATTCGATTTATGATTGTGCCTTAGCAGAAGACTATATGTTGATTCTTCAGACATCCTAACTTTTTTGAATCTCTTTGTTCTTAGAATCTAAATACCTATTTCTCAGTCTTATTTATATCGATATTGCAGTAGTAATGTTCATTTTTGAATTTGGTTTGCCTTCAATCGACTTATATATAGTAAGTCTAGTAAATTTTTGAATTTACATTTTCTGACTTTTACATGCATAAAAACAATTTTATACTTAAAAATACAGTACTACTGTATACAATAGATTAAAATAATATAGCCATTCCAAATTTAAATATATTGTCTACAATAAATATAATTTTTTTTAAAGCTGTTAATAAATAAATTACACAGGATAGTAATTTAAAAATTTGACAACTATATTTATACAATTATTTTACCCTTTGATTTAGCATAATAAACTATGATATAATGTTCATTTTTTTAATTTATTTATCTGCTATTGTTCTTATTTCTTTTATGTAAAACGATCTATATGTTACAAACAAAAACCTACCATTAGACCACTTTAATTCTGTGATTTTTGATAGTCTTTTTTTTTCCACTTCCTTAATTATTTATGCATGGGTTTTCTTAACCTCCATGTCATTCACTAGTTTATTTTGATCTGATTGTTTTTAATGGCCACAGGTACCTTGTGTTAGTGTTGTATATTTTTGATATCTATAGCTTTTTTGACCTATTTTATTCATCATACACATTATGCATTAGTATTTTTATTTCATGCATTAAATCAAGTTGTAGTAAAATATTGAATACTTTATTTATACTTTTTGTTCTCTTTACATTATGTACATCACATATATCCATATGTATATCTGTATGTATATACATACATACTATGGTATTAACACAAACTGCTACTGCTACGTATAACAATAAGAATAAAAGTCTTGTACTGTATGTAACTAAAAAAGGATTGTCTATTTTATTAATTAATAATTGGGTGCTATGATATGTTGTATATTATTAGACTAGAATATTTATAGCATTTAGTGTATTTATATATTACTATATTATCCATAGATATTCTTTGATGAATATCTGATAATACAAAGTAAAATGATCAGTAACGGTTGAAAACATTTGAATATGTTACATTACTGCTATTCTTTATTAAATTAAAGTTTTTTGTAGCCAATTTCGCTTAAATATTTAATATTAAAAAAATAGTTCTGTAGCATAATAGAGCATTTCAAGAGAAACTCTATATTTTCATCTGCGTAGAACCGTAAATGGCTATATAAAAGACCAGGTACTAGACCCGTGTGCAAATCTTAGGATCTTCTTGATTAAAATGCAATTCTTTTCAAACATGCATATTACAAATGCATTTTAAATTTTAACTTTCGAGGATACAAACTCTTAGCCATGTATTAGACCCGGGTCTGCTATAGGTTTTTAAAATTGGTAGAATGTAACAGACCCAGGTCTTTTATATAGCCGTTTACAGTATATAGAAACACTAACATACTTAATTTTAGAAATTTTTTAGGCTCTAAAAAAGTTGATTATTTTACATACGTATGTACTGTACATAAAGTACGTTATAAACCTGAAACTCAAAAAGTATAGGTCTGACTGGTTATGTAATTAGAAGAAAGCTGGCTAGCCAAAGGTACTAGAAATTTCAATTAAAAGACTTTAAGTCCACAGAATATATTGTGAGTAAACTGAGCAATTTGAGCTGAGTAATTTGAACTAAGTAATTTGAGCTAAGTAATTTGAGCTAAAACGATGATATGCTCCTGGAAAAATTAGCAAGTGAGATTGCATCATCATATCATCATAACAGTAGAACAAGTAAGAAGCAGCATCAGTGGTGGTTTCTCACCTGCTTGAAGCAGGCCGGCTATTAAATAGGAAAATAGCAGAATTAGAAGACTTCTATATATGGTGGGATGAGTTGGGTCAAGAAAATAACAGTTATAATACTTGGTTGTTGCAAGGGAAAAGAGAAGAATATTGATAGTGATTTATTCATCACTCCTTATATATTGATTAAGATCGGTGGCTTTTCTGTTATATAGTTATATTAATGTAGTCTAATATTCTTTCAGACAGGGTCGTAGCATATGGTGTGTGACACTGACCACTTCCCTGTAGTGTTACAAGCTGGCTGGGGCAGCCACGGCTAAGGCGGCTTAGCCGGCTAAGCCAGCCGATATAATATAATCGGCTGGCTAATGTGGCTTAAAGTCATATGAC